CCAGCTGTTCACCTCCGAACCCTGTTCTCGGAAGGTCTTCTCGCCCAGGCTGACTTTCATAGCTCTAAGCTCCCATCTTTTCTACCAGAACTCACCCCCGCTTCCAGCCCAGGTTCCTTGTGGCCCCTTCCAGACCAATCTTCCCCAGCCCCTATCCACCAAGAGGCCAGGCCCTGCCCCTGACAGTCTGACCCGCCATAGGCTCTGCTGACCTTAGCCAAGAACTCGGGCACCATGGACAAGTACCCCACCTGGCGGCGGACCCTGATGCGCCGCGCTAAGGAGGAGGAGATGAAGAGGTTCTGCAAGGCCCAGGTGGGACTAGGGCTTCCCCGTTCTTATGGGCTCAGTGTGAGGCTGGGGACCTGAGCTGCACCAGTGCTCCATTCTTGAACAACCCAGACTTCTGGGTCTCGTCTTGTCCTCCCCAGAGCATCCAGCGGCGACTAAATGAGATTGAGGCTGCTCTGAGGGAGCTGGAGGCCGAGGGGATGAAGGTGGAGCTGGCCTTGAGGAACCAGAGCAGTGAGTGAAGCTGGGGGAGGATAAGCTGGGGTGCCCCTCTGCCTCTGGCACTGTGTACAGCTCCCAGCGATCCCCCAAACCACTGGGCTCCGGCCCACAGCAGGTTCCATTCCTCATGCTCAGGACTCCTATGGCCCTGGTGGGAGGCCTCCGGACCACCCGTTCCTCTTTTCTCATCAGGTTCCCCAGAACAGCAAAAGTCACTATGGCTAAAGCAGCTGCTACACCTCGTTGAGAAGAAAAACAGCCTGGTGGCTGAGGAGGCTGAGCTCATGATCAAGTAAGGGACATGGGGAGGTGACCGTGTCTTATGAGCCAGGCCCAGCTAGGTCCTTGGGCACCATGGACGCTGTGCCTCCTCTATCCCTGCCCTCCACAGGGTACAGGAGCTGAGCCTGGAGGAGAAACAACTGCAGCTGGACCAGGAGCTTCGAGGCTACATGAACCGGGAAGGTATGCAGGAGGTGGGGAGAGGCAGACATCATGGGGCTGGAGTTTGTAGGAGCCTTGTGATCTCAGTCCTCTAGTCAGAGTCCCTCCAACTCGAGGACGCCAGGGGAAGGGACAGCAGCCCCCACTCTGCCTGCAGGTCCATCAGAGCTGTGCATTTGGGCTGCCGCTGGGAAACAAAGCTAGAAAACCACTGGTGCTGACCAACCTAATTTACAGATTAGGAAACAAAGGCCAGGTTGTAGAAATCACACAGGCCAGGATTAGGCTGTGCCTCTCTCGCCTCCCGGCCCAGTTCTCTAAGCTTCGTCTTCTCCCTTCAGAAAGCCTAAAGACAGCTGCCGACCGGCAGGCTGAGGAGGGGATCCTGAAGAAGCTGGTGAGTGTGGTGAACCAGCGAGACGCCCTCATCCGCTTCCAGGAGGAGTGCCGGCTCAGCGAGCTGGCGTCAGGGCCAGAGGCCCAGGGTTAGAGGAGGGTGGGCTATCTGCCTTCCTCCTAAAAGACCATCCCACCCAAGGACAGTGCCACCCTGCTCATCTGGGCTGCCTGAAAGAGGGCCTCACTGTTGACAATAAAAACGTGTTTGCCACCCACAGGACTGAGGCTGCCCGCAGATGGGAGGTGGGATATGTAGGGAGAGATGTGTAGGAAGGAGCCTGTGATGGCAAACCTTTTGAGCTTGGCATGTCAGCATTTTGAAAAACCCTAACTTAACTCTGGTGACATCTTTGCAACCATAGTAAAACAAAGACATATTTTTGATATTTATTTTATATATTTAAATGCCATTTAACAAAGAAAAATCAATCAAAAAAATGAGTTCGCGTGTCATAGGTTCGCCATCACTGGTCTACACTGTGACAGTGACTGTGACCATTGGCCCCAATCACTGCCTCTACAAGAAAAAAAGGCAGAGCCATCCAAGTGCCAAGCTTTATTGGTCCTCAGCCCTGTTCCCCTCCTGATGACCCAGGGACAAGGCTGGCTGAGACTCTGGACCCAGGTCCTGGGCCTCCCTTGCCCTTCCCAGCACATGCTGGAGCTCAGCCCGGGCCTTACATAAGCCCTTGGCCTCCTGCATGTGGAAGGTGTAGACTGCACCTGCCCCCAGCAGCAGTCCTACACTGGGGGTCCACAGCAGTATGGCAACTTCCCTGACCCCGCCTCCAGCTGCCAGGCTACACAGCACTGTCAAGAGAAGCAGCCCCAGACCAATCACGTAGCCAGCACAGGTGGCCCACCGATGAGCTTGAGCCACAGCCTGATCCAGCTCTGTCAAAGCCTCCCTGAGCACGGTGACCAATGGTGAATTCTCTGCTGGTCCTAGAACAGGGCAGGGCAATGGGGCAGAAGAGAGGGTCAGCGTGGAAGGGCTGCCCTGTGGTGGGGAGGGACCAAAGGGAAGGGTGGGGTGACTCACCATGGGTAGAGCTCGGGTCGTGCTGGGGTGGGCTGTGTCTCACACACAGAGTAGCCATCAGGGCCTCATGATCAGAGAGTGGGGAGCCACTGTGAGGGTCAAGGCCTTTGGTAGTTTTGAGAGTCTTACAGGAGATGTAGAACCCAGAAACTGCCTGGGAAAAGTAAAGGCCAGAGAGAACATTGCTTTCCCAGAGAACCAGCTCCTGGCTATCCCATTCTCCAGTCATCAGTGAACTAAGACTAGACTGGACACAGGAACCACACAGGTTGGTGAGAGAAGAGACACGGTGGGTGAGGACACAGTGTGGGGCGAGGCCTGACCTTGTAAAGCACATAGTCGATGCGGATGCCACAGGGAAATGGCTGCAGTTCCTTCTGGTTGACGTAGCAGTTGTCGGGTACCATGGTACAACCTTCTTCAGAGCCCTAGGTGAATAGTTGGCTTGTGCCAGGATCCAGGGGAAGAGGGAAAGAAGCTGGGCCTCCAGGTGGGGAAGTAATCAGGCAAGTCCCTCACCTTGAAGTCCCGGGTCTCAAGGTAGGCATCACGCAGCCCTGTCCACTCCTTCAGGAGGCGGCAGCCCAGGTCCTTTGGGTGCAGGTTGAGGTCCCCGCACAATAGGACCACGTCAGCCTTCTTGGATGTATGGCTGGGGAAACCGGGTGAGTAAGGCCCAGAATTCTTCCCTAGCCAGCCTCTGTCCTAGGAGTGAGGCCTTGGCCCCCCCTCAGCCCGACCCCATCCCACTTCCCTTGTCAAGCCCAGGCTCACACACTGGATGAAATGGGCCAGTTCCCAAGCTTGGACCACACGATGTGCTAGGTAGATGTCCTTCTGTCGATTGTATTCTGCGTGGAGCTGAGCAAGATAGATGAGATTACAGCAGATGCGACTGAGGGTCCCAAGGGAAGGTCTGCATTAAGCCTGTGTCTGTCACTGGCACGGTGCTCGGTAAAAGCGGGTGAACCTTGCCTACTGACTTTAGGAGAGCCTGCCCTCACGCCTCACCCCCAGGCGGTCCAGCTAGAGGAGCCCCGTCTCTCCCTTTCAGGACCAGGCTGCCTGTCCCAGCCCCCAGCACTGCCCGCCCACTTCACTCACGTGGGTCACGTAGGCATTGAGGACCAGTCCACTTAGATGGAGAACCAGCAGCCCGACAGCCTTCCCACAGAACCAGTCACCATGATGGATCTGCAGGCAGGAGGGGGCAGGAACTCAGGGCTGCTACCCTCTTCCTGCCCATCCCTGCAGCCCTAGGAAGCTGCCTCCTTTACCGTGTTAGTGAGGGGTGGGGAAGGGGGGGTGGAAGAGGTCAGGCATACCATGTAAGGGTAGCCATTGAGAGTGTAGACATGCTGGGTGAATTCCTGGATCGGGTGTTTGGAGAAGACACAGAGGCCACTGCCAATGATGCCACTGAAAGACAAGTCCTGATTAATAACAGCCAGAAAAGCAGGAAGAGAAAGAACCAGTCCTCTTCCCTTCCCTTGTCTCAGCACTTATCAGCTACTTCTTTCTGTCTCCTGCTGGGGCCAGCCCCAGAACACAGCTCAAAGCCACAGCCTTTGTGGGATGAATGATAAGGTGACAGAATGATAAGGTGACCCGATGATAAGGCGGAAGGTGAGCTGAAGAGCTAGGATCTTCCTGGTTCCACCCTCTCCTGCTTCCACACCCAGACAAAAATTGCTGGGGAAGAGGAGGGCAGGTGCAGGCCGGACAGGGGGATGGCAGAGCCCAGAGCCTGCGGTGTCCAGGCCAGTAGGCTGCTCACCTCCTGAAGTAGTGTGCAGATGGGTAGGTGGGCAACAGCTTCTGCCTCAGGTACTGGAAGTCCTGCTCACTCCACACCTGGGGGGGAGGGCGGGAGGAGACAGTCCGCCTGCCTCTTACCTCGGGGAAAGTCTGAAGCCACCGCTCCTCCCACCGGGCTTCCCCCCCAGCCCACCTCCTGCAGCAGAGCCAGGTCGAAGCTCTCCAAGTTCAGAAAGTCCCCCAGGCGCTTCATGCGGTCCGCTCGGTGCTTGCTCAAGTAGGGGATGGCCCTAAGGACGGAAGGGCCGGAGGGGTGAGGTGGTGGGGTGGCTGCTGGGGTGCTCGGCCCTCCGACCCACTAGCGGGGCCAGGTGTGGGTTTTGGAGGTGCGGGTTCCCCCAGCCCCGAGATGGTAGGACGGGACGTGAGGATGGCCTCCTCCTTCTGCGGCCCCAGATCGCACCCCACGGAAGCACTCACCAGCAGTTGAGGTTAAAAACCCTCAGTCTCATGGAGAAGTTGGGCTTCATGGCGGGACGCGCTAAGGACAAGTGACAGATCGGCTTCCTCCGCGACGGGCGCTGTCGGACACGAGCGGGGGCGGGCGGGCGGCACCTCC